TGTTTCCATGGTTGATATTGGTGATGCGTGAAATTACAGTCCTAAGAGTGTTGACAAGCTCATGAAGATTTGCAATAGTTGCAAATCTATTTTCACTTTCACAAAGTATAGCATCCATGATTTTTCCTTCCATAGACAACTCAAACGAATTCAAAAGTTAAATAAGATGAGAGTAATCCGCAACCTCTAAAAACAAATTCTACAAAGAGGAGTAATCCACTCTCTTTGAAGAAAAGATCAATGTTAATAAACAAGATTTTTTGTTTAAAGGTGGATTGTCCGCAACTTTCAAAATACAACAATAGAAGTGGGATAATCCACTCACTTCTAGAATAAGATAGAAACAATATGTTAGTACTCTTGTCAAATTATCAAGGACATGAATTCCAAAGAAAGATAATCTCAATACACTCTTATGTCACTCGAAAATACTTAGAAAACACTCAAAGGTGATAATATATTGAACTAGAATGGCTATTGTCAAAGACTAGAAAATATGACGACTCTTGAAACTAGACTGGAAATAAAAAAGGAGTTGACAAGAGTGAAGAAGGAGGCTTCACTCTTGTCTCTATGTATACTATCTAGTTAGGGGCTACGTGGCAATGTTCTATAGGACTTCAAATATGTGTTGACTTTGTAGGATACTTGTCTTGACTTACAAGGCAAGTTTTTCTACGTGTGGGCCACATAGTTAGCTTGGTCTTCAAGCTAACAACATGTGTGGCACATGGCCAACTTGTTGACCATGTTTCTAATCCAAAAAGTCAATTAAAGACACCTATGAAGTCAAAACAACATCTATGAAGCTTCTTGGAAGCTTCTGTATCAAATACTATAGAATTAACTTATTTTTATTTATTTTTACTTACTTCTACTTATTTATATATGTAATTATTAGCTTACATGAGTATGTCCGTGACATTAGGTTCTCCACAATATAAGCATAATCTACTTGACAACAACGAGTCTTTTCTTGCTCGATAAGAAATTTAAAATGTATTGCATCAATTTACATATCATATATTACTGAATGTATGTATTGAAGAGATATTGGTGTTGCTATCAAATTGTAATAACATTGAGGCTCACTTGTACGATTCTCAGATCAAAATTTAAAATGTCAATTGTTGCACTTTAAAGCAAAGTTAATTGCTTAACTCAATGTTTGAGGATCAAGTAAGTTGAACATCAAATTTTTTACTTCATATTGTAATTTATAAAGAAATTGTCTGATAAATGTATCATCCCACTTGGTATTAGTTGTAAGTTGTCAAAATTGTGAAGCATATAATGTTACAGAATGATTGTTTTCTCACAAATTAAAGATCTTATTAGTTGCAACACAAGTTGTATTATGTTCTTCATACATGGACCAAAATTCCACCAAAAACGCCTCCAAATTATTCAATACTGGATCTCATCATTGAAGAGAAGATGAAAACTATGATAGTACTGAACTTGAATGAAGTTTACCAATGAATCTGACTTATGAACTTAGAGTTGGATAGCTTAAAGGTTGAAGTTTAATCACAAGTTGTACTTGATTGATAAATCTTCAAAATTTATATCTTATACCATCAAACTTCTCAAAGAGGGTAACTCATGGTTTTCTAATATTTGAAAGATGTTCCACCATGAATAGAAGAACATGATTTGGTGCAAATGTTGATGCAGCTCTAATCGTCTCAATATCCTCACTTCTTATCATTCATATTGATTCTTATGGTAGCAAGCTAAGTTGATGTATCGCAAGCATCAACTCCCTCAATTGTTCTTTCATTTGTGCCATTGTACTCTTCATTTCAACAAGCTCTATTATAATAAATAAAGAAGTATATATATTAAAAAGAAACTAGAATGATTTATTGCCAAAAGATAAAAAAACTTAAGATTCTTGAAACTAGACTAAAAGCAAGAAAGGAGTTGACAAGAGTGAAGAAGGCTTCACTCTTGCCTCTATATATACTATCTAAGTTGGAGCTACGTAGCACTGTTTTATAAGACCTCTAATATGTGTTGACTTTGTAGGACATATGCTTTAGCTTACAAGGGAAGTTTTTTACATGTGAGCCATATAGTTAGCTTATTCTTTAAGCTATCAACATGTGTGGTATATGGCCAACTTGTTGACTACATTTCTAACCTAAAATGTCAATTAAAGACACATATAAAGTCAAAATAGCATCTACGAAACTTTTAAAAAGCTTCTATAAAAGATATTATGAAATTGACCTATTTTTATCTACTATTATCTAAATCACATAAATAATTATTGCTTTACGTGTGTATGTTTGTGACAATAATATCATTCAAGAGAAGTAGAAGGGATGACTTGAGAACAAAAAAGATATTAAAAATAATATTAGTTTAGAGGAGGATAATTTGCAACTTCTAACATGCTTATGTCTTATCAAGACGTAATCTATTTTTAATTAAATAAAGACAAAGCTTTAATATTGCAAGTGTACTCTTGTCAATCTATCAATGACATGAATTAGAAGAAGTTACATAAACCTGAGAAATCTATATATAAAAAAAATAAAAAAATAGAAATAAAATAATATGCATATTAAAATTGAAATTGGAATGGCTATTGTCAAAAGACAAGAAAACTAAAGACTCTTAAATCTAGACTAGAAGTAAGAAAGGAATTGACAAAAATGAAGAAGACTTCTTTCTTGTCCCTATATACATTATCTAACTAAGAGCTACATGGTGATATTCTATAAGACTTCTAATATGTATTGATTTTACAAGACACATGCTTTAACTTAAAAGATAAGTTTTTTATGTGTATGCTACATAGTTAGCTTATTCTTCAAGCTACCAACATATGTGGCACATGGCTAATTTGTTGATTCCATTTTTAACCTAAAAAATCAATTATAGACACTTATAAAGCCAAAACAGCATCTATGAAGCTTTTAAGAAGCTTCTATAGAAGATATTATGGAATTATCCTAATTTTTTCTTCTTCTATCTAATCATAAAGGTAATTATTGGTTTACATGTATATGTCTGAGATATTTAGTATCTAAATTCTTTTAATGGTTATTCATTTATATATTTCTATGTATGTGTATACATACACATTTATCCATTGAGACAATAATTTGATATATACTACTATGATATAAAAAACATTTTTTTAAAATCTAATATAAATAAAAAAATTAATTAGTAATAAATAAAACTTTGAAAATACAATGATAAAAATTATTATTCTATGATAATTTAATTTTTTATATAATTTATTTTTTTAATTTTTTAATTTTTTTGTAAGTAATGATATGCATCATATTAATGTATTTATATAATAATATAATATGATGCCAAAGATCTATTCTATTTTAGTATTAAAAAAATAGATAATCAGTTAAATTATTCAATTTCAAACTCTTAAGATAGAAGTGGGATTGAAGTTAAGATATATTAGAAATGTAATAGAGACAAAAATAGGGACGAGAGTAGAATTAGTGAGGTTTAGATAGGATAGAGATAGGAAATGAGATTGGAAACATTAAACTAGTACATTTTGAATATCTTAGTGAGAAAAAAAGTTGTGGCTTTAACAAGTTTTTAAATTTAAAAGCATGATTTCACTGCCAACAATTTTTCAATGAGACTTTAAATTTTCTTTAAATGACATATATAATTTTTTTAAATCAATATCTAAAATATTCATTTAAAAAAATCTCTTAAATTGAATAGTTTGAGATAAGCGACTTGAGATAGAATGTTGAGAATAAGAAGACATGAGGTTGGAAATATGAAACATGAAATCGGAAATATGAGATATGAAGTTGGAAATATGAGACATGAAGTTTGAAATAGGAGACATGATGTTGGAAATATGGGATATGACGTTGAGAATTAAGAAGGGAGAATATAAAATTGAAAATAGAGAATAGATGATATGAAATTGGAAATGAGAAATAGAGAACAAGAATTGGAAATTGGAAATGGAAGACATGAGATTAGAAATAAAGAATAAGGGATAAGAGATTAAGAACGAGAAATTGGGAATAGGAGGGGGACATGGAAGATAGACAAAATCAATCATGACATGGCAAAGATAGTGTGGCTTTATCAACTTTTTATTATATAATTTTTAAATAAAGATCTTTCTTATAGATTTATTTTTTAAATTTTATGTTACATAATATTTGAAGTAATATTTAATAGCTTAATTTAAAATAAATAATATTAATTAAATTTTAAAATAATTAAAATATATTTTTTACAAATATATATATACAATCATGATATGTACTTGTGAATAATATTATATATATATAAATATATATACATAAAAAATATAAAGATTAACAAAAAAATTATTTATTTCCATATTAATACATATTTAAAATTAACATCTTTTTAAAAGTTTGTAATGATTAAATTGATCTTAAACAAAACCATTGTCAAAAGTTTGTAATGCTTAAATTACATTTTTAAATGAAGTCATTCCAAACACATCAATATTGATTTTGAAGAATATGTACCTAGCTTTTGTTTTGACCTTTTTATTTCATATGTCTTACAAACAAAGATATTGAATAGATTTTGTGCTTATTAGTTTTTTTTACAATTGATTAAAAATTCCTGATTTTTTTGGATTTATTTTTTAAAAAATATTATTGATGAGAAATCAGACATGATTAAATGTTAAAGGTTTATTAAAATGTTTTAGTGTGGGAAGCTATTTGGATTATGTTCCACCTCCACTATCAAAGCTTTCGATGCTTTTTTGTTTGAAAAAAAAAAATTCTATTGAAAAGAATTTCTCCAAAAACCAAACCCTTGGAACAAAAATTTTACAATTAAAATGAAAAGTAAATGTATAATTGAATGATAAGTTCACACCTTCTCACGCCATTCAATCGGCACTCCTTCTCAGGCCACACAAGACTATTGCGAGTCACCTCACAAGTGTCGATCCTGAGAGCAGCAGGGATGATGGAAGGAATCATGTGCCAAAGCTGCACTTGCAACGGGAAGTAAGATCCTTTCGCTGCCTCTCGGATTCCTATTCTTTTCGTTGAGTTTTCCGCTTCTATGAGAAGCTACCCAGGCGTTGAATGGCGGAGACTGATGTCGGTACCTTGGGTAGGGGATGGATTGAATGGCGTGAGAAGGAGTGCCGATTTCATGGAGATGATTTCAAGATACTGGGGCTCAACAACGTTTAATGTGATTGTGGGCCACTTCATATTTCTCTGACGAAGAAGTCTTTGTGGGGTTTCTCCACTTGCGCTGCGGTCAAGCTCAATCGTTTTGATGCTACACAATGAGTCTGCTCTGTCTTTTATAGTTTACGACTTTTGGACGTGTATTGCTTTGCACGGTTTTGCAATGTAGTTTATCTTTGACGAGCTGCCTATGCTCTTAGAGCGACATTGGCAATTCGATTACAGTTTCCGATGCGTTTTTCGACCTGTGTTGACGCATGAGACAGGTTTTTCACAAACCCATGAATGTGTACGATCGCTCTCGCCTGATATGTTTCGAGGAGCACAACGTCGCAGGAAATTTTGGTTCGGTTGGTTTGGTTTGTGTTAATAGCATAACGAATTCTTAGGCTTGATTTTTTTTTTTTTTTCTTTTTTTCTTTTTTTTCTTCTTCTTCTTCTAGCTATTGTATCCGTAATTTGAATGAATCGTTGTGGTCATCCTTGCGCAGATTTTAGGGCTTTGACCCTTTGCGCTTGTTTGTGTTGAGACGCTTCAAACTTGTGGCAATGGCAATCCAGACAACTCCGCCAAGTCCTGCAGTGCCTGTAGAGTCAAATTCGCAAGACGGTCTCATGTTCAGCCTACGAATCGTGAATTTGGAATACTACTTGTCACCCCCTCAACCGGGCATAGATGTGTGCTACTCCAAGTTTCAAGGTTACTTTGATCGTGGCTTTTTTACTCCATCAGGGCTGAGGACTTTAAGCCACCAGCCTCTATTTACAGTTCTAAATCCGTGCTCTTTCTATTAAACTTGAGTTTTTGATTGGCACCTATGCAGGTCGCACTGTGATGGAGGTTCCCGTAGTGCGGATTTATGGAGCAACGCCAGCAGGCCAAAAGGCTTGCTTACATTTACATCAGGTGAGTCGGTGTCTTTTTTGGTTTTAATTTGTCGGATTGTTCGTGTTTTGTATTTAAGTATTCCTGTTCTCAGTGAATTTCACATAATGCCAATTGAAGCTCGATCTGTGCTTGTTGAACTAGGTGTTTCCTTACTTCTATGTGCCTTATGGTGATGATCTGCCGCAAGAAACTAGCGAAGGTACGTGTACCATCAGTCTTTCCGCGATGCTTAGCGTTGAGAAGTATCTCAAGAACTTGATGCGTTTATTGAATATTATCATAGTGTTCTTTCAAGACTTCTTTTGGCGCTACTGAGATCTCCTGAATTTTTGGTATGTATTTGTAGCTCTTGCATATGTGCGGTGTCTTGCGTCAGCAATCGAGAAAGCCATGAAGGTGCAATTCGTACTGTCTCTGAAAATCCGGAGTACCAAGCTGTTCTTAATGTTTTCCTCAATTCTTACTTTTGCACTACGAACTGTGACTACAGTTGAAATGGTTATGAAATGGTTACGAATTGATATGAGTTTATGCAATTTCGGAACGGAACCTGGGTGATGAAATTGTATGTTCGTTTTATATGCTCTTAGTAATTTCGATGTTTGATGTTTTCTTCTTCCTTTATTCTGATGTGAGTACCGCTAATAGAATACCCCTCTGACTGCAGCTAGCCAGTAGCAGCGCTGCAAAGAAGCAGCATGTTCACAGCTGTAGCCTTGTGAGGGCCCGACGCTATTATGGCTATTATCCATCTGAGGAGCTCTTCATTAAGATTGTATTGTATCACCCTCAGGAAGTGGCCCGCATCAGCACTTTGTTGCTGGTAATGATTTTTGTCCACTACCGTCTTGTATAAGTTGGTGTACTTGTCCTTCCTGTCAGCCTTTGGTTTAACATTCTGTTGGTTCTATAATCTCCCCTAAGATGGCATGTCAGCTGCCAATCCTTTGATATCTGCAAGTTGTATTGGATGGGTTTATCTGTGTTAATTTGGGCAACTATTTCATTGGACGTTAGAATTGGAAGGTTTAATGTTTTACTTCTGGTGTTGTATTTGTTCAATTCCTGCTTATTTGACTGTTGTTGTAGCATGAATGCAGGGTGGAGGGATAATGAATCGCAAGTTTCTGCCTCATGAATCCCACATTCCATATTTGCTCCAATTTTTGGTACGTATTAGATGATCCGCCATGAATTGTGTGCAGTGTGGAACTCCGACCTGTTTGTTCCACGAGGAATTTGAAAAATTATCGATGTGTATGGTATTCCAAGGTACCATCTTCTTACTTTCTGTCTACATCACGAAGCGCAGATTGATCAGAATTTGGCTGGCATGAGCTACATTCATCTTTCCAGTGTGAAGTTCCGGCGACCCATTCCCGAGCGGCCCTCTGACACAATGCATGTTATACAACAACTGAAAGCCGAATTCATGCAAAGGTCTCTTAATATAGATGTGACTGTAACCGAAGCAGATGATGATGTGAAAATCAGGACAGCACAGAGTATGGAAGCAACACCCTCTTCGACCAATGAATGGTTAGGGTCTGGCCCAGGGGGTAAGAGCCACACACGCTCGTGGGTGGAGTCTACAATACCTGCTCACTGGGTCTGGTCCTCGCATTATTCTACTGGTGGTCCTTTTGGACGACACAGCACATGCGAGCTTGAAGTTGATGCATCTGTGGAAGGTGCAAGTCTCATTCTCTAATGTTGCTTGATTTTTGGAGTTACATAAACTTTAGAGGCAGCTTTAAACAATCAACGCTGTTAATAATGTTGAAGAGACCTTTGATTTTGGATGTGTTGAAATTTCGACTTCCTCTAGGCTTGAACTTGAGTACCCAGTTGATTTTGATGTCTAGTGCCTCTTATCTCACTTCGCTAGAGATACTACCGTTCATACTTCAGTTCGCCAACCTTACTGCCACGCACGGACTCTTTGGGGGAAAACCGTTTTGAACCCTTACATCGCTGATGGTCGGAGTATGCAAGTCTGTCGCAGATATATTGAATCAGAAAGAACTGGTGTTTATACCACTACACGAGGCAGGGCGTGCGATCAAACTGGTTCAGTCTCTGACGCCAATGTGGGAGGTAACTACCGACTACTTAAAGATTGTCTGGATGCAGCTGCGCGACTTTTGGCTCTTCCGTTTGTACTGATCTTGAAATGTTTGGCCTCGAGCTTACAATGCTCAGAGGATTCGTACATCACATTCAGCCTATTCTTTTTAACGTGCTCTCAGGAAGAGCGGCTCAGGACTGGAGAGGATGGACCTGCTGGCGCTGCATATGCACTACGACCCTCGCTGGACCGCTTTCTTCCATCCCCGTCTGCTCTTGAGCAAGCTCTTCGTGACTCTCTTTACCAGATAGTGCAGGATGAAGAAAGAGTCCACCATCTTGAGCATAGGAGTGGTCAATTTCTCAAAAGTACACAAGAGGTGTTACTTGGGTGCTCTCAAGCAGCCAATACTGTGAGGCCTGAGGTGGCACCACAGGACCTGGAACCTAGACTGGATACAAATAGTATTGGCGCAGAGGGATGGTTAGCGGATGACGAAAGGGGCCCAAGTAGGGAGCATTCCGCCTCAGATCAGGGAGGTCAAGACGAGTTAATTAATGAGAATGTCATTCGTAGTCAGCTTAACTTACAGAGTCGTGCCTCTCAGGTATGTAAAGTTAAGAAAGTCATAAGTTGTAAGGTTGAGTGTGATGCGTCTGGGGTGGTAGAATTGAATTTGTTGGTCCTTTCTTTAACAATTTGTTGGCATTTGAGTTAACATCAATCTGACGTGTATGCACAGTTTCTCGTATGGAATTTGTGAAATTTTACGCTGTCTTATTTTATTTTATTTTATTTTTTGTTCACGTAGATTGATTTGTTATTTTATGCGCGCTGAAGCAGGAAGTGGAGGAAGAGGTAGCCGAGCTGTTAGAGTGGATGGGTGCCTTCCATCAGGATATCATGGGCGAATCAGGTAGTGAGGATGATGAAAAAGAGCAGGAAATTCGAAGAGTCTTGAGCCAGCCGTGGGATTCACCAACTATGGAAGCAGCGATGCTGCAAGCTCTTTCCAACTTTGAACACGCTTCACAGAAAGAATGTCAAGAAATTCTTGAATGCGCGAACTATGACGATTGTGTAGAAGATGAAGGCGAGGAAGATCTTGAAACTTCCCTTCTTGAGATGAATCTGGAGGGTTTGGCCACTGTACAAAGAAATGGGGCTGGATCAGAAAGGTTTTCATCTGGTATTCCACAAGTAAATGGTTCAAGCGATGAGTATGAGAAAACGTCAGGGGTTGTATTCGATAGATATACTGAGCATATTGATACATTGCATACAGAGGGTGAAACTAAAATTCCCCGTGTCATTTTTGGGGTCGACGACCCCCTTAAGTTTGTACAGAAAGATCTCGAACACCATCAGCAATATCTCCCAAAAATACCACAAAATGATGGCGCAGGTGATACGGATGCTGAAACGGAGCGTGATTTTTTGCCGGAGCCTAAGCGAATGCGTCTTTGTTTACGTCAAAGCTCAGCTGGCTGCAGGAAGGATAGCCACGATCGGAAGGAGAAAGACACTTCGAAACGATCTGTTTGGGGTTCACTGCCTTTGGTTGGTGGAACATCTGATTCAAAAACTGTAAAGAAAGAAAAGAAGGAACAAAGGCCCTATAAGCAGGCTTTGCCAGTAGTTTCAAATCAAAGGAACGAAGATCACCTTCGACCTCGCAAGGAGGTAACTCGGGTGGTCGAAGTAGCTGCCCGAGACCAAAGACCAGGGATCTCAGTAGATTCGAAAACAAAAGTTGCTGAAGTAAAATCAAAGGATGCGGAAGTCTCTCTACGAGCCTTAATGAGGAGGAAACGAGAGAGGCGGTTGCGAAGCAAAGACCCTTCTCTCTCAGGAGGCAGTTCTATTGTAGGGAGTCAGAGCGAAGGGGAGCAATCTTTTGGCGGGGTGGGGATTGTGAAGAGTGAGAGTTCGCTTCCAGGCGATTCTGAATCCCAAGAACAAGATGTGATTAAGCAGAACACAGCGGCGTCGAGTCCTCCACTTGCTAAAGAGAAAGATGAGGAAAAAATGGAAGAGCTTGTTATTTCAAATCAGGGTACCACATTACCACGAGTTGTGGGGCAAACGACCAAATTTCAAGTACTAACCTTGGGGAGTAATGGTGCTGAACAAATAACCAGGGGCTCCCAGGGTATGGAAATTGACTCAGGAAGGGGATCCACAATTCGTCTATCTAACGCTGATTCTATATATCCTGTGGACGATGCACTTGGCAAATCTGAATCAAGAAGCATGCATCAGGATTCTGAAACGAATAAACTACCTCCTAAGTTTGAAGATTTGTCAGTAAAGTGGAATCATCACTTGCATGAAATTGGGGATCATCGGGATTGTGGAGGTGGGAGAGTGCTCAATGCGGAAACGTCTGCGCTTAATGTGCAGAATTCTGCAGGTATTCAAGTCTACTCTCAAGTTCCGGAGGCAGTTCTGTTTGAAAAGGTAGAACGGTCGTCTGAATCGGAGGAATCGGAACATCTCTTTCCTGCTTCTACTTCAGGTCCAGCTGTGCAGAAAGAAGCCTTCCTGCAATGTAAAGATTTGCATGCAGCACGTGGAGCAGATGCGTTGAAAAGCACGAGTTTTGCTAAAGGCACAAGGTTATTCTGGGCCGAGGTGGTGAAGGACATAGTGGAGAATACATCTGATAAAGTCACATTGCGAAAGACGCAACTTTCCAATTATGACGTGAATGACTTGCAGGACATTGACAATGTGACTCCACAAAGGAAGATTCGTCTTGTTTCCGAGGATGTTGGATATCTGACAGCAAGCTTGCTATCCGAGTCATTTCGTCCACAAAGGCCGGATGTGGTCTCAGATGAGATTCTTGTAGATAATGCTGAACTCATTGAGACCCAGTTAGTGGAGCATGAGATTATTCGGAGACTGAAAGAACAAGAGATGACTTGCACGGCAGACATGGAGTCTGATATGACTCAGTCTATCATCCAGAGAGAAGCCGCATTCGAAGAGGAAGTCGATAGGGATGAAGTTTTTGGAGCAATTCTTATTGGAGATAGAGAAGGTTCAATAGGCAACCTCTCGCAAGCCGACATCTCTGTAAATATTAACATTGTTTCGGTGCCCGACGAGACAGAGACAGTTTTCAACAAATTAGACAGGGAAATCAAAGAATCTCCACCTATGATTCCTGTAAATGTCAACCACGACGCGGTTCCACGCATCGAAGGGCATGAAGTTCCTGGTATAGTTTTCACTGATATGTCGGACGAGAGTGAAGATAGCCTTGATTGGGGTGATGATTCCGGAAACTTTCACAGGTTAAATGATAGTGATGAAGGTGCGGATGTTCCAGAAGAGGAAGAACTTCGGACGAGACTTCCGAATAGTCCAACCTATGTCAACCCTGGATCACCAATGCATGCGAATGGAGTCGATCCAGTCGTTAAGGGTGAAGATTTGGTACACGTGGAAGCATTACAAGTTCCTTCGGCAAGAGATGTGAGATGCAAGAATGCGGAGAGTACCTTGAACAGTACACCAAAAGCTTTTTTCACTGAGACTCATACAAACTCCAACTTCTTGATGGAGATACCTGAAGCACAACTGTTCCCAGCTACAAGAGAAAATATGAATACTGTAGGGTTAAGTAAAGGTTCAAGCGGATCCTGTGGGACTAGTACTGTATTTGGTGCTGTGCTAGGTGAAGCACAAGCATCAGGGGGATTTTCAAAAGAAGTTGGAGATATGGTGAAGGAGATATCCTCCCCGAAGTCTAGCTCACTAGTGAAGATTGGTATGGGTATTTGTAAACTCAAATCAGAGCCAGGACAAGACAACCATTATCTTTCGATACCGACTGAAGGCCAGTCTGAGTCAAGTGATAAGAATAATAATACTGTGTTTCTACATGAGGCAAAAGGCTTTGCATACAGTGAAGATAATAAGGGCAGAGAATCCGAAATGATTGTGGAAGTTAGTGCTTCTGAGAAGGCAAAAGGCAAGGATTCTGCTCCGCAGACAAGGGAATATAACATGCAGGAGGCAAAGGATGACACTTTGCTCCCTGTCAAATTTTACCAGAAACCGCCATCTAGGGACGCACTCATGGGTACTCTTTGCCAATACAAGCTCAGGAATGTGGATTATGGAGGTGTGTTTTATGGGAATTCGAAGGATGTTCCTGCACGGGCTACTGTCTCCGCAGGCTTGATTTTTGATGGTGAGTTGGTTTGTGGAGAAATCTGCTGGTTTTCAGCTAATATTTTGTTACGCCTAATAAGTGCTAAGATAAAGTTGTATATATATATATATATATACATATCATTATTATTGTTTGTAAGATTTTTTTTGTTATTTTTTTTTTTTTTTTCCCGCTTAGCAATATGGTGATGTTTAAATTCCTTCATTGGAGATTAAGTTTCCTTCTGGTCCTTGCAGTAAAAACGAAAGAAGCATTTGATTTACCTCCGTTCTTATTTGGAGCTGAAAATAAGAAGAGCAGATTCAGTAGTACCCGTGCAGAGCAGAGAACGAGTCCGACACCCCTTAGTCCTGGAATGGGGGTTCCCTGTTACTATGAAAACGATGGATCTGTGTCATATCTTTTGACTCCAGCCAAGCCACCTCCCAGCCGATTTGCTGTGCAACAATGGCTCTCAGAGAATAACGTTACGGATGCTCAGAGTCATTTGAGCACACGTGGAGAACGACTCTTTACCATGGATGCTAACACAGGTAAACTTGTACCTATTGATGAAGCTGGAAGCAACAGGTCGACCCAGGAGAGCTTCCCACTGCAACACTCAGATGAAGATTATTTCCGGCCAGCTTCACCTAAATATGACGAACATCATGTGTTGGCTACACCGATGGTATCTCATTTTTCTGTCTCGCCTGCGTGTGCACCCTCAGTGAAAAGATCTAGTAAAAAGAGCAACGCTAATGGGGAAGTGGCTTCCGGGTCCAATTCTCTCCACTCAAACCCTGAGCTTGTAAGTTCTAGAGCCACCACCCCCGTCACTCTTGATGGTGTATTCGAGGATCGTAAGCCTAAACCCTTACAAACTATTGTACAGAACGAGAAAAAAGTGACTGCTCAGGCATCGCCGTCTCTTCACAACAATTCACCATCTTCGCAAACTCTGGAATGTGTAGCACCACCACTTGCGAAGGTACGCACAAAACATAGTTCAATTCGAGATGTCTTTTGAAAGTATGCAATCTCGCCTTGATGACATAATATGTATGTTCTACATTTCCCCATCGAAATGTTTCTGTCATGTTACAAAGCTAACATGTGGTGCTCATTTTACAGGATAAATTGAAGAATGAATTGCTCAGGGGGAGGAACACTGAAGGAGGAACTTCAAAGGGTATCTCAAAAGCAACAGCGATCTTTCGTGATGTATCTCAGATTACAGCTCCTTCTCCACTTAAAGGTCATTCGACTCCCCTTAGTCAATCTGGGTTTCGGGACCCTGCCAGCGTAGGTGCGGGACAGCAGCTCACATTGATGAGTATCGAGGTATGTCTCAAACCTTTTAGCTCATAATAGCAGTAATGCGCAAGGTTGGGAAGGACAACCTCAAACACTTGCTGTTTATTCAAGTTGTACTTATGAAAGTGTTGCATATATGGCAGGTACATTCAGAAACGCGAGGGAACTTACGTCCAGATCCTCGTTATGATGCGATTGGAATGGTAGTTGTTGATATTCAATATGACGATGAGACACGCGGGCATATTAATAATCAGACTTTGGTTCTACTTGTCGATGGAAAGGCAGCTTCTTCTTCCAAGTAGGCTACTGTGCTACTCACACCGCCATAAATAGTTGCCGTTTTGACAGTCAGGAACATAGTTCCTTTACAGCTTTCAAATCTCAGCTAGTTGAGAGTTATCTGTGATTTGTTTTTATACTTTGTAAGGGTAGAGATGAACTTATTCTCAAGAAAAGCATGTGTTTGTAGAGTAGCATAATTTTTTTAAAGCCCTAATTTAGCATGATAATTTAGCTTAGGTGCTTTCTTTCTTGCCTCATTCTTCTGTTGGATTAGCTGAAGGACTACTTAGCTGTTCACTTCTTGCTTAGCGATGGCCTTTCCCCCATATTCACTGTCGCTTACTTGAGATGGTTTGCCTTTGGGTCGCAGGAACGTGGATGGTGTTACAGGCTGTAGCATCATCTATCTTGCTGACGAACTCCTTCTTCTTAAATGCTTCGTCCGCCTCGTCCGCTCATGTGACCCTGACATGCTTGTGGGCTGGGAGATTCAAGGTTATTCTTTGGGTCTTTTGGCCGAACGGGCAGCTAATCTGGGTTTCGGTCTTCTTAAAGAACTCTCTCGTATACCTCCAAAGGCACAACCTCACAGCTCGAACGGTGTAAAGGAAGGTGACAGCAATACTCACAGCAACTCTGCCGATGGTCAACCCAAGTTTCAAGAGCTGAAAAACTCAGTTTTTGGCGATATGATACCTTTGGAGACAGGGGCGGCTGATAGTGTAATTACAGATGAGTGGGGTCGGACCAACGGGAGCGGTCTCTTTGTGGGAGGTCGTATAATCTTGAATTTGTGGAGAATTATGCGTGGAGAGGTAAAGTTGGGTGTATATACACTTGAAGCTGTAGCTGAGGCTGTGCTTAGGAGGAGGGTGCCACGAATCCCTTGGCGCATTTTGACTAGGTGGTTTGCTCGCGGTCCTGCTCGAGGAAGATGTCGATGCATCAAGTATTTCATCGATAGAGCAAAACTCAATTTCGAGATTATAGACCAACTTGATCTGGTGATGCTCCTCTAAACTTTCTTCTCATACTTTTTTTTCAGCTATTGTTTTTACTTGCTTGAACGATCCAGAAAGATTGTCTAATGATAATTATATCATATTTGGCTTTTTTGTCTGGCAGCTGAATCGCACTTCGGAGCTGGCTCGGGTATTTGGAATTGATTTCTACTCGGTATTTTCTCGTGGGTCACAGTTCCGAGTAGAATCTATGATGTTGCGACTAGCACACACTCAGAATTTCCTTCTTCTGTCTCCAAGTAGACAACAGGTACTCTTCGAATTCCACTCATCGAGCAGTTGAAAATCTCGGTGAAAGCACTCATGGTTTGCATAAAGAGTTAACGACCGCTTAGATTGCCTTCCTAGTTTTTAGATGCTGGAGTTCAACATATTTAACGGATTTTTTGGTAAAACGAAGTCTGCTGTTCATGTTGTGAATTGTTTTAATTACAGGTCGCTGCTCAACCAGCAATGGAGTGCCTGCCACTCGTGATGGAACCTGAGTCTAGATTTTACACAAGTCCGGTGGTGGTCCTGGACTTCCAGTCGCTGTACCCTTCTATGATCATCGCATATAATTTATGCTTTTCAACTTGTCTGGGTAAAATAGTCTCACAAAACCCAAAGGTTCTGGGTGTTACCAATCTGGCTATCCCACCTGGTCTGTTGCAGGAACTCAAGGATTTACTTACAATAACTCCAAATGGTGTAATGTATACTCCTCCAGAGGTAATGTGGACATTTCGCAAGTAATTCTCCTCTTGCATGATCACCCTGCGATGAATGTTCCAAGATTTCTGCGGTAATAATGGTGTGGCCTCTGTGTCAACATACAGGGCAGAACGATGGTAACTTCTATGATAGTAGATTTATCAGTTTCATCCTAATGTGGCAGGTTCGTCATGGGGTCGTGCCAAGGCTTCTTTCAGAAATTCTCTCGACTCGCATTATGGTGAAGCAAGCGATGAAGAATTTAGCTGTAGATCAAAAAGTTTTGAAAAGAGTACGATGTCGATCTGTTTCTTGTTTATGAACATATGGATGTTATTTGAACGGTGCTTATACTTGAGACCTTGAGGCTATTGGCATATGTTTCTGCACTGAGGGTAAGGTTCCAAGTAACATTGGATCCAGAATTAGGCGGACGCACAAATTATCATTTTCATATTTTGGTTTTCACAATTTATTTCGTAATTTTATGCAGGTCCTAAATGCTAGGCAGTTTGCGCTAAAGTTGATCGCGAATGTGACTTATGGATACACCGCAGCAGGATTTAGTGGTCGAATGCCATGCGCAGAGCTCGCTGATAGCATTGTACAGTGTGGCCGTCTTACACTTGAGCGTGCAATACATCTAGTTAACACGACTAAACGGTGGGACGCTCGGGTCGTCTACGGTGATACGGATAGGTAAAAGCTAAAAGCATGTTGTTCGACGCCTCCCTGCAAGTTTTATGTCATTGTATGTTTGTCATCGCCACATGCGCAGAGGTATAGTTACGGGTTGTTTTGAACCTAATCCAATTTTCGAACACGAATCAGGACAGTACAGAAGTTTGCCATTGGATGCTGATGCAATGTCAGTTTCTTTCTAATTCTGTGTTTTTGAGCTTTGCGGAAGTTTTAAGTCGAGTTTCCAAAGCATAAAGCTTAATTTATCACAACGCCATGCTCTCCAAGACTGGGAGCAGCTCTAAAATCACGTAACATTTGCTTTAAGTCGTGTAGTTTCTCTTGTTTGGTTGGACGCAGCATGTTTGTACATTTGGAGGGGCGCACAAGGGAGGAAGCATTTCAAATAGGACAGGATATCGCGGCATCTGTGACAGCCATGAACCCGAGTCCAGTTACCTTGAAGATGGAGAAGGTCTACCACCCGTGTGTACTTCTCACTAAGAAGAGATACGTGGGTTTCAGTTACGAAAGCCCTAATCAACGCAATCCAACTTTTGATGCTAAGGGCATTGAAACTATACGTCGTGACAGCTGTGCAGCTGTGTCCAAGACATTAGAGCGATCTCTTCGTACTCTATTCGAGACTCAAGATCTGTCACAGGTTCGTAGCTTGTTCTTTTCATTTACGTTGTCGATGGTTGAGCCATTACATAATGTGGAAAATTATAAATTTACTGCTGAAGTGATAAGTTCGATTGAGAATGGATTTTTTTCCTTCTAATTTTTAACCGTTTCACAGGTGAAGGCCTATCTCCAGCGGCAGTGGGGGAAAATCATTAGTGGCCGTGTTTCGCTTCGTGACTTCGTGTTCGCAAAAGAAGTGCGATTAGGGACATACAGTGCGCGAGCGTCTGTCCTTCCAGCCGCTGCTATAGTGGCCTCAAAGGCGATGGCGCTTGACCCTCGGGCAGAGCCACGATATGCAGAGAGAGTACCATACGTTGTTGTGCATGGGGAGCCCGGAGCCCGTTTGTCTGATGTGGTCGTGGATCCTCACACAATGCTTGCGAATGGATTACGTCTCCATGACACTTACTACATTACCAAGCAGATCATTCCTGCATTGCAGAGAGTCTTCGGACTTGTGGGAGCAGATTTGAAGCAGTGGTATGCTGAGTTACCACGGATTTATAGGCCCCCAACTTCCAAACGACCAGGAATAGTAACCTCCAACGGTCCTTCTAAAGCTCCGGCTGAGGTAGAGCGAAGCAATAAAGGCTATCTATCTAAGGGGACCATTGATGACTATTACTTGTCACAACATTGTGCAGTATGTGGGGAGTTGATGCGAGGCTCTCAGTTTATCTGCTCCTCCTGCTCTGCCAACCCTCAAGCTGCTGTCGCGGTGTTGACGACTCAAACTGCTCAGTTGGAGAAAGAGTTCAAGCACCTAGAGGCGGTGAGTGATTGATTGCTGAATAGAATCCACAGCCTCAGTTTGATTACTGTTTTCAACTGTTTTCTTTGCATTTAATGTCACTTCTTGTGTTGATACATATTCTCTAGACTTCTTCGGGCAGCTGTGTGCTCACAATGCGATGTGTGCGGCAGATCTGTCGACATTGTGACGGAGGTGATGGAGGTCCAGAGGGCCACATTGCATGCGTCTCCCTTGACTGCCCCATCTTTTTTGAGCGGATCAAAGTTCAGAAGGAGTTGCAAGCGTTATCAACGATTTCTGCCAATTGTGGATATTATCCAACGTGTTTTGTCGACTTTGGCTCTGAGTTATTCTAGAATCAAAATCTTTGTATTCATGTATCAATTATCACAGGTATTAATTAATTTACTTGTACAAATAGCCGTAACTCTGAAAGTCGTAGTTATATGGGAAGATCCAGTGAGACGTTTTTCAAGTTCAAGGTAATGTGAGCTAAGGTTATGAACAAGAGTTTCTTTTGAGACGATGCACTCCGAAAGTAGCCAAAAATAGCAGCAGATTATTGTTGCAGAGGTTTGTTCTTGAAGAACTTATACCTTAGAAGATACGTCTATTCAGTGATTTAATTTAGGTCGAAATTTCGCCAGAGCTTTTTCAAATTCAATTCATAATATTTTATTGGCATTCAAATTATATTATAAAAGAATATTTTCTGTAGCTAGTTTTGTTAGCTGGTGGGGTTGTTGGGGGTAGCTAGAAACTTTGAAATGAAAGTGTTCCTTTTCTCTCCTCAATGGAATCACAAGTTAAGACATTGGATGGAATTCAGATGAGTTGTATGAACTAAATTAGTGAGGGAATTGTATCAAATAACACATATTAACTTGACTTGACCACACATTATACAGCCCAAATGGTAATTGTGATATATATCTAATGGTCACTAGTTGTAAGATTTTTATTTTTATTTTTAATGTCTTGTGAGGAAAAGAAAAGAAAAAATCCAAGAAAAGTATAAGAAATAAAAAATTGAAATAACACATTGCAAAAAGTCCAACGTTCTAAAAAAAATAAACAAAGACAAGGACTGCAAAATGAATCTTATGTGTTGATGCTTTGTGAAAATACTGGTAATAATATGTAGAATCACTAAATTTGATTTTTTGTTAAATTCGAAGTATTAAAAAAATTAATATATATATATATATATATATATATGTGTCATTGTATGTTTGCAAAACAAAAATGCAGGTTGGTTTGTTAAGAATGTACAGATGGTTTTCAAAACCAAAGAAATCATATTCTAACTTAAGTTTCTAAGGTTTTAACAAAAGACTTTTACTGATAAGTGAAGGATTTTCAGGCAATATCATAAGAATTTGATAAAAAGAAAATGATGAATCAACCAAATATGACAATTGTTATTTAAGGAATGTGAGAGACTTAACAACAATTTAGAAGATACATTCATGATCGAAGGTTGGATTTTCATATATTCAAAAAAATTAGTAGTTTTTGTACTTGTAGATATGATATACGATTGAAATGAATTTATCCATAAGTTAGATGCAATTAGATTTGTTTGCCAATTATGAATAATAACGAAACATCTTAAGAAGACATTCTCGTTATCCAAAAAGAACAGACATGCTCCAAAGTTCAACCAGATGCATTCCGTAGTTTCATTTTTATTTTTATTTACTGGAAGATGCTAAATCTTGCAATCGTAAATTGAATTTTGAAACCACATTTTTCACAAAAAAAAAACTCAATTCAAGGTAGGTTCTATAAATTCTGCTTGATATGCATCTTAAAAGTGTATGTATTTGATTTTAGTTTTAAAATTTAATGTTTATACTTACAAATCATTTATTTAAATGCACAAGGTTTGAGCACATGGTTTTCATTAAATATTTTGGGTGTTTAAGAAGATAAACGAGGAGTTTTTATTTATCAATTTCATTTAAATATGAAAAATCTTACTACAGAAGACAAAAAAAAGTAAAAGTTAAACACAGAAAAAAAAAAATTCAAAAGAAAGTAAAATAATAAAAATGGTGACTTAAATAATTTTGGCTTGTCTCTGAAGAAGTTTTTGTTGACTTTGTTCTAAATTCTTGTTGCACAAATATACTACTAGTAACATTAAGAAATGACCATAAGGTCGTCCAATCAATATTCCTTAAAATAGTACCATAATCTACACATCATTCTTAACCCAGATTTTTTTCTTGTTCTGCATTCTCATGTTAAAATGTTGGGTTAACTATATTTAACCCAACGTCATGTGAAGATACTTTCGAAAGAATTCTTATCCATCCATGTTGCTGTTGCTCTTTAACGGCATATAATTGTTCAGTTAAGCTGTGTTTATGTCAAGTGTAAGCTGGATTGTCTTCCGATATCATGTCTGCCTTAAGTCTAAGAAATTAGATGATGTTTGTTTCTTCAAAATACAAATTTGGGGAAAAAACGAGCATGTGCACTGGGTGAAAGACTTGAGGATAATATTCTTCCTTGACGCAATCTGCAACACGACATTTTACTCGAGCTGATCAATGAATGCAAGCCGTCAAGTCACTACAGCTTCCAAAAGCCCTGCTACCATGTACAAAGAACCACAGATTGCAAAACAGAGAAATCAACTGGTTCTCAGATTACAGATAAATCCATAAGATCAGCATTTTCACTAACTTGTCCTAAGGTGGTGAAATTTTTGTATGTGAGTAGCATATGTGTCGAGCAACACTTGGTACTAATGTCACTCCTGATTTTCTTTCATGATTTTGGGGACTTTGAGAAAAGGTCCATCTCGGTCAGGAGCAGATGCTAGCATGGCCTCTCTACACAAAGCAATGTAAACCAATGTTAACCTAGTGCATCATTAAAGGACAGAAGAGCTCGCCGAGCCATTCCAACAGCATTCTGGAAAAACCCTTCAGGCAACCAATGAGGAATACAGTATCATTTTCAAGACCATTTACTGAATCTGCGCAAAACATTCTAGCTTGCTTCTGTGTAAATAATTGAGGAAATGAATCTAAATAGAGTGTGTGCATGTGTGCGTGAGTGTATTTATATATATAGATATATAGATACATATACACACACATATACCATAGACTCCTTGCTCCGATGCAAAGTCCAAAAATCAGAGATAGAACCTGGAAATTATTTTCAAGCCGGACTACACACACTCTGACTAGAGTTATCAAATTTGAACATCCGACTTCTAACAAAAGCATGGAAGAATGCAATGGAAATAAAACAAGGGGTGTGAAAGTAGACAATACCTATCAGGAAATAACTGGGCCATGTCCGGCCTAAGAGTCTTTGTTGGGTCAATCTCTCCTATACAAGTACAGAAACACTTCAACATATAAGCCAAAACAGATGCAGGGATATTAGTGGAGCATAATAAATATCCTACAAGTTCTAGCTCAATTGCTTATCAGGACTTTCTGTGTCTGAGCTTGGGATATGTTGTAGTTAAGATGCGCCAACATGAATAAAAGGGAGAAAGAGCTGCAGATTGAATACCAACTCGGATAGCGGGTGGAACATTGTCCAAGTCTATGTCTTGGAGTTGAGCGAACCTGTTCATACGGCCGAAAGTCCGGTAAATGGCGGATTACCTGTGCTAAGTATCATAATTATAATTGAAAACTCCTGTGTGAAATTCACAAGAACCGATTCAGACCAGCAATACTTACCAATCAACAATACGCCCAATTTGAGGCTCAAAATCCTTGACCTGTTTACGGAGAAACATTAGTGTCGATGAGCTTCTACATGATAAATTCCAAAGTGATCATGAGGAATAGAGTTGGTTATCGGAAGATAATGGACACTATAAATTTAGGAACATGACCAGCAATAGTAGTTTTCAAGCAAAGCCTCTGAAAATGGAAAAACCCTTGAGGACTTGGGATTTGAGTTAAATAATAGTTAAGCCATGATCTTGGAAACATACAACATCTGGGGGGAAAAGAAAGCGACGCGGCGTGAATTCTTCACATGCTTCCAAATCAGGGCAGAATATTTAACTGCTCACTTTACCTTGAAGGACATGAATCCTGGTTGTGAGTAAGAGATACTGGTAGATGCATCTAAATATGTTTTACAACTTGGGAGTGCAGGCACATGAAAAGAAGTTGCTACCCAGTGAGGTTTGTTTCACAACACTTTGACTTAAAAGAGAAAGCAGATTATTTTGTGGAGAGATTAAAATACTTCACCTCCTCAGCAGTAAGCGTCAAACGCGCCTTCTCACAAAGAACGGAAACATTTGGGGGATCCACTTTGGAAGCTGAGCACGCTGTAAACGTTACTCTTCGACTTGAGAGGTAAATTGAGTGCAGCCGAGACATGCATGGCAGCATTTTGCAAGAACTTTGAACCCGAGCAGCCATCGCGCTCATCTTCAATGAATCGTTTAATCTGGAGCAAACAGAGAACAGCCAAACGTTAACAGTTCTCTCGAAACAAAGGCACCAAACAGCGTAACCCTAGAATCTAGAAATACAGCACCACTGGCAGCTACGATTTACACGCGCTCTAAACTGCAAAATCAATAAACCCCATTCATAGGATGTGAATTCTTCACGATGGAAATGTGACTCATTCCAAGTATCCCAAGTTTCCCTGGGGGGAACCGAGTGTGACAAACAATGTAGTGCCAGCCAGTGAAATTATAAATCAATTCAATCGGAGATGTGCTTGAGAGAGATATTCGTCGAATGAGCCAGAATGAGTTAATTCATTTGACAACATGGCTCGTCTAGAAAACATAATCTTAGAGAAAATTGGAAATACTATTTAGATCTCCTGAACATGCCAACAAGAGACTCCAACCTCAATTGTAAATTTGGGTTCGCCAGAAATTCCTACGCCAATGAGGGACAGAGAAGACCTCAAGGATTCAGAAAACGAGCAAGCTCGGTATGAACACTGTTCGAGGTACACATAAACCTCACTTACCAGTTTAGAATCCTGAATAGCCTGCCGGAAGAGCAACAAAGAAATCTCGCTGATCCAATGTAGCAAAGCGACATAACCAATCTCGAGCTGCGCTAACACTGGTGGGGCACTAACCGGCGTCTGTGTCGTTGTTCCGCAACAACTAGGTCCCACAAAGGATATATACTTTCATCCAAAATCAGCGAAGATGTTCATGTTGGATGCCATGTGGATGGAGAAGGTGAAAATGTACGAAATGTTTGTGGACTAGGTTATGTAAGCTTAAAGGCATGGGGCTGTCTACAGAATAGTCGTCAGATTGGCGAAACATGATAAGAAACTGAATTTTAGAATATGTCGCAAGCGTATACTTTCTCACGTCGCGGCTTCGTCACTCACCAATTAACTTAGTTTGCTTGCCATAGTCGGACGGAATATAAAGGACTGATCACTCAACTGAGTCTCTTATCGCTGCATCTGCTGGTTACAGTGCTTTTTTGAATGCACATTTCATGTGTCATCTTCTCCTTGATCTGGCGATGCTCCGACAGAAGATGGGATGGGGCATTGAGTCAACCGAAGAGTGTTGGGTTTCTCAACAGCAATTATCTTTGGTTGGTAACATTCTGCAGGTTTGTTGGTAATTGAAGGCTTGAAGCAATGGATACTCTTCTGAAACAGCAGCCTCCGAGAATCACATCAGAGCGGCAAGAGCTAATCAACTCCAGGAGCAGACCAGTGACTTCATTGAGCAGAGTCTCTTGCTGCCATTATTCTGATTCTTTCCTTCGGCTTGAGAATAGAGATTCGTTTTCTGCACAGAATTTTAAGTCGGTTCAAAGTTCGTCGAAAAGAAGGCCATTCAATTCATCTCCAGAAAAGACTATGCTGGTCTTGAATACCGGTCTCGGTAGGGTTAGGACTGCCAGTGTTTGTCGAAGATTCGATTGCACAGCGTTTTCAAATTCCTGTTGCAGAAGATGGTTAACTGGACACAGGTTTGCAGTCAATTCTGAGTCCTCCAATCAAGAAATCGCTGGATTTCCGAATCAAAGTATAGTAGGAGAGAGTAGAATATTTCGTGACACACTCATATTATGCCACCAGCGTGAGCCAGCTCTTAGGGCAAGGAGTGCTGCGCTTGGGCACTCACCGTCCGACGATGAAGACGCCGATCCTTGCATTGAGGAGCAGGATAATGAGGGTAATACCACGGAATCGCTGCCGCCTTCCCAACCTACCATTTCATCGTGGGTGCTAAGACTCTGGAAGGCAAGGTTTATCCTCCACTCTTTCCTGCTTCTCTTTGCTACTAACTGCTTGAACTCCATTTTGGTACTTTAAACCCTAATTCAATATGACCAGGCGGTGAATTTGTTGCGATATTCAGTTTCTGGGTTTCTTTAAGATCGATCATGAATGTTGTGCAGCTCAGTAGCCCTACTGAGCTGATAGTAACTCAAAATTTCCACCTTTAAGGTTTGTGCACACTCATTGTGTGTTGGGCTTCAAGCTCTGGTTTACTTATCTTTCGTAGCCTGGAGGTTTATCCTAGAAAGGCTGCTAAAGGAGTCATGTGTTTATATATTCATTTGCTTTGAGTAAATATCCATCTTTATATGATGATTGACGCAATTATGTTGCTGTCTCATGTACCACCTGTGTTTTTTTATATTGCTGCCTGTGTTCTGGAGCAGCCGGACGAATTGTGTTGGTGTTTGGTCGGTAAAGGCAAGAAACTGATGTTTGCATCCTGTACCAGGTTGACTGGGCGAGGGTGATTTTTGGGCTTTCCCATGATGAAAAACCTTGGACAGTTCCCTGGACGGGTCAAACAATCTTTCAGGTACACATCACTTTATTGTCGTCTATCAAAGCTGTTTCTCCTGCTTAAAATTCGGAACATGATAATCTTTTCAAGTGATAGTTCAATGTTCATGATTTTCCTCGAAAGAGACTAGCATTGATAAGTCGCAACGTCTAAGCACGAACTGCACCCGTTTATCTTCACCGTTTCCATATTCAAGATGTTTGTGGAAGTTGCAGCTCCTCGCAAATATCTGGTAGTCAAATGTATGGCACTGGTGATTTGATTTGCACATTAATGTTTGCCGAAGTAGGCGTCTTTGTCAGTGCCTCAATAGTGGATGCAAGAATGCCGCTTCTTGCATTCCTCCATATGCCACACGCATCAGGAATCTTACCAGCTTCAAGGTGTCTTTTACAGGTCATGTTCTTGTGGTTTGCAGCATTCTGGTTGGTAGGCTCTTGGATCATTCCCATAGCTGCTCAAGCTGCAGGCTTCAGCAAGCAGAGCTTGACGTACAGGGGACAAGCACTCTACAGCCTCGTCACTGACATAGCCGAAGGAACGGTGGGATTGGGTATTCTCTACAAATGCCTCACACGGTTTCATCCTCTTCCAAATGAGTGGTTTCCTGTTTCTTGGCGGGGCACATGGTACGTTGAAGCGTGCCTTGGCTGCCTAATGTTTCCCCTCGTAAATCGTCTCTCGCAGCTCAACCTCGACATTCTACCGTTCCCAGCGCCCTTCAACTCGTCACACGTGGAGCAATCTATCATGGCAAGGGACCCAGTTGCGACGCTCTTGTATGCAGTAGTAGTCTCAGTTTGTGCACCTATATGGGAAGAGGTCATGTTCCGAGGCTTCCTTCTGCCATCACTCACCCGGTATTTACCTGTATGGGGCTCTGTCATTGTAAGTGCCATAGCCTTTGCTCTGGCGCATTTCAGTCTTCAGCGCATGCTCCCTCTCACATTTCTAGGATTGGTAATGGGCATAGTGTTTGTCAGGTCACGAAACTTGCTGGCATCCATGCTCCTGCATAGCTTATGGAACGGTTTTGTGTTCTTAGACCTATTAAGATAAGAAACTCTTTGAACACGGTTTGGCATGTGATCAATCAGCATAAATCTGTCTATGCAGGTTTCTGTGTAGAGTTTCTTCTCTGGAGCATCGGTATTCTCCTGAATTCTCTCAGCTAAAGCTATTTGATGTGCCAACACTTTCTACGTGTTTGTTTCCCGCTGCAAATCATGGATCATGTCCTGCTCCAGCACTTCGATCCACCATTTGCTATATGCAGTGATCCAAAGTGATGCAGGATGATGGATACAAACCGTCTAATCTGCGAGGAGCTGCAACGTAATAATATGTTAAGAGCATGGCAAGTAGTTTTGGATCTGCAGGTGACGAAAAGCTAACTGTCACCACCTATATTTTATCCCTTAACTGGTACAAAACTCATCTTCAAAGTTTCTCCACTATGTCAGAATTCATTTCAAACTATGCAAAAGTGGTGACCTGTGCCTCGGTTGTGGTGGTTTACATTGAAACAAGTCAGCAAACCAATGATGCTTTGCTACCTTGTTATTTGGTCACATGGAAACTTGTAGGTGGCAGTGAGATCCAGTTCGCCAATGCCTAACCTATTTGATATTTGTCCTTGCAAAAATACTTCCTATTTTTGATGCAACACGAGAATAATTGAGTTGGAACTGTGGGTTATAACCAACAATTGTTGATACCTCCAAAATTGACCAGTATCAACCATCAGTGAGTGAGCTACTTGTAATTGCTCATTGTGAACTTTGAAATTGGCTCTGGTTTTTTGCCGTAGCGGAATAGGTACTCAACTGGTACCTTGTACTGGATGATCAGATAATCCTATAGCTCCTTCGACCATCACCCTTTCATAAACCTTGTATAAGTGCCTAAATAATTTAGTAATTTTTAAAAAGAACTTTAACCCTTAATCCTGCACCTCTCCTACCAACATTTTACGGACTGCTAATAGTTAGTTAACAATATTTTAGAGGTTCCCAACAATTGTTCCCAACAATTGTTTATTCATTAGTGAGCTACTCATGAAATTTGATGAAATTTGATACAATTATCCAACATGTATGATTGTAGACATGTATGGATAACAGATGGATGAAGTAATATGGTCAAAGTGTGAGTTGGGTACTTGTTTTGTGGAATTGTTGGTTTTTGTATTATAACATTAAGAAACTATACACTAATACCTTTTTAACCCATATATAATTGTATGAATTAGCGACGTTTACAAAAAAAATAAAATAAAATAATTAAATATAATTTTAAAAGTTTTTCCAATATATTAATGGGAATTGATATGTTAATTTAAGTTTTTACTAAATTGATTGTGTTTTGGTCACAATATCTTATTGTGTACCATATAGTTTTAACACTTTTAAAAAAAATAATAATAAATAAATAAATTGATATGTGTACATATAATTTTAACACATCAATCTATGAATGTGGCATATCAACTTAGTTTTAACACTTTAACTAGTTTTTAACACATATCAATAATAAATATGAACATATTTTTGTTCTTCTTTAATACATAAAGATTATGTGTTAAAATAATGTGGAACACAATAAGATACTGTGACCAAAACCCAGTCAATTTAGTAAAAACCCCAATAAATGTATCAATTTTTTATATTAATATAATAAGTTCAAAATAGTACCATAAATAGTAAAGATTATTATTTGTTGCTTCTAACTTAAAATCTTCATTACAAATTTTATTTAGAGTGGAAATTAAAGTGAAAATATAATTGTGTTTGAGATATGTTATTTTAACAATTAAAGTTAAAATATAATTGTGTTATAATTGTAAAGAATTACTATAACATATTAGAATTGTATTGCTTTCACATGTTTTAGTGGAATTAATTGAACTATTAATTATATTTTAAAAACTTCATAATAAGAATGTTTAAGGGTTTTGTAAGAGCTTAAACTATAATCATATAAATTAATATTTTTTAATTTTCAAAATAACTCATAAATTATTTCATACATAAAAATAGTAATAAAATGATAATGTACACACTGTTTATTGTTTAATTTGATATTAAAAAAGATAAACCAATATTAATGATAATGTGGTTTTTAAAACTTTTGTTGCTAAAATAAAATATATTATTTTGAATATGTATTTCTTCCTCCTTTTATTTTTGAATTTTTTGAAAAATTGAATAAATTACATTTTATTTTTTATTTTTTTATCTGAAATAGTAGTATTATTTTAAAAGAGTACATACATTTTTTAATATACCCATGATGTTTAAAAGCTACAAGATATACGTCAACGTGTACATCCCATAACATGAGTGAACGAATGACGTCGACGTCAGTCAAGCACGAACACGATGAATGACATTCATGTATCGGAACCGAAGCCGAATTCCAAGGAGCTCTTGCGGCCGTTAGATGGAAGGACTGATCGCACGGTAGAGACGTGGCGTGGTGTGAGAGAGGTTCTCCTTTCGCAAGTAGGCAGCCAAGCAAGCAATTAAGCAAGCAAACAAACAAACAAACAAAGAAGGAGAAGAAATTTGGGAAAACAGTGCAAATCCAATCGCCTTCTCCGGCTCGTGCCAACCCATTCCGGCGCAACTTGCAATCAGGCAAGTGTCCAATTCACTCACGCTGCGAAGTCTCACGAGAATTAGTGTTAATGCGTTGCGTGTGTGCATAGATAGATGTTGGTTGCAAAGGGCACTTGTGCGGAGTCACGTCCACATTCCCACTACCTCCCTCCTGCTCCCTTTCATAATTGCGTGCCGCTGTCTGGCTACGTCGGATGCATGTAAGGATGTGGGGAGCATGCGTACTGCGGTTGCGCTGTTGCCATTTGAATTTCGTCAGATCTGGCATTCTTGAGGCTTAGCTTCCAAGCAACGATTTCCGTCTCCGCCCAGCTCTGCAATATGATGATGGTACGAGTCAGTTTTCGTCCTTTTTGGACGCATTCTTGTCTCCGGTACTTAGTGTGTGCATTGTGGTGGTTGATGGTGGGATGTTGGAATTAGAATGCGTCTGTGCTGAGCAGTTGGGTTTCGAGTTCGGGTGGAGTTCGTTTTGATTTTAGGGTGGAATTAGGAGTCGACAGTCAGCAGGGTTGGCAGCTCAGTGGATGTACGGGGAATCTTTTTGGGTCTTTGTAGCATTGTGCACGTCCAGAGGTCTGCAGCTGTGCACGAGTAACTGGAATCAGCATATCCTTGACAAAGAATTTTGGAATGCTGATGAGGGCGCTGAGAATTTGTATGTGTTTATTCTGGTGACCTGATCAACTGCGTGGATTGCAGAGGAATCCATGCATTCTTGGTCGCAGGATCTGAATCGTTTGATGTGCAATTGGGCTATTTATCTTCTGATTCTTGCGGATTTTTTTAGCTGATTGGGGTTATATCTCGATCAGTTTTGGATAACTTTGCAATGATAGTATGCTTGAGTTTTTGGAGATCTTAACAGAACTTGTCGAAAATCCTTCTTTACTATTAGTTTGCCGCATGACCTTCGCCAGCAGTTATATCCATATGCTCGTGATTTTCCTTGTGGAAGATTAATTTTTTGTCATGACTTCCTCAAATCAACGTGGGCAAGAATTGAAAGCAGGGGATGCCACAAAATGGATTGTGTCTCGTGTGAACGCAATTCCTCCTCCTCTTCGTAATGCACAAATCACTGCGCTCTCTCTCAAAGAAGACTCACGCGGTTCTGTGCTACAGACCCACACGGATATAATGCTCCGCCCTCCTGCTCACATGTTGCCCACTCCTGTGTCGTCCAACATAGTAGCTTCTTATGCACTGTCTTCTAATCCTGAACTTCGGCTGCCCAAACCTCCAGACCGACCCGGCTCTCGCGGTCCTTCTTCATATTGGCTGGAAAATTTGAAGTGCATCAGAGATAGGCCAAGGGATTGCTGTGATGGCTCTGGCTCTATTCACTTCACGATTGCTGGGAATGAGAAGTTGTATGAGGCTTACAATGAGCTTCATAGCTTGGCTGAGGAGTTTCACAAGCCCTTCGACGCGCCAGCCATTCTTGTGGTTGGACATCAGACGGATGGCAAGAGTGCCCTGGTCGAAGCTTTGATGGGATTCCAGTTCAATCATGTGGGCGGGGGCACTAAGACACGCAGACCCATCACGATGCATATGAAGTACAATGCCGATTGCGCACAGCCCAGATGTTTCTTAGTTTCTGAGGATCAGCCGCACCGCGAGAAGGAGCAGAGTCTTGATGAGATTCAGGTTCTGTTCGCGCTTTCACTTCTCTCTCTTCGCTGCTGTTCTGTATTTATGCTTCTTGACTTCCTTTAAACATTTGAATACGATTTTTCTACGACCCACATTCCCTGATACCTGGAGCAACTCCGTTGTTTTCTAACGTGCTCTTAATGATTTGTATTTATGTTCACAGGCTTACATTGAATCCGAAAATAAGCGACTGGAGGGAGAAACGTGTCAGTTTTCGGCGAAGGAAATTATATTGAAGATTGAGTACAAGTTCTGCCCCAATCTTACAATCATTGACACTCCAGGCTTAATTTCAGCTGCACCTGGCCTAAAGAATGAAACCCTGCAGGTCTGCACGTAAACTTGGCGTACATGCCGCGTAGTAGACATCGGAGGTTGTTGTGGTTTTTTTGATGATAATTGTGTTTTTGTATGCTTGATGTTTCTGAAGTTGAAAGCACAGTGCGAGAGGTAGAGCGTTGCCCTTTCTTACCATTCTCAGTCTTCTAGTATGCTTTTGTTTCCAATTTTCTCAATGACGAGCTGCATGTTCCTCAACTTCCAAGGTTAATGTTTTTATCTGTAAGCTTTTTGTGTAAGTACAGACTTTTGAGCCTCTTTTAACTTTTTCCATGTGATGAGGAATGTACAGTCTCAAGGGGGTGCCGTGGAGGCAATTGTCTTATTGAAGATGCAACGAAAGGAGTTCATTATTCTCTGTTTAGAAGATTCTAGCGACTGGAGCAATGCGACTACCCGAAGAATAGTCATGCAGGTGCACAACTAAGTTCGTGCTTCTAAATCATGTAGACCCACATTTTGATTCTGGGATTTTTTATTTATGCATCTCGGTGATTGCAAGCATAGTTACCGAGTATATTAAAAATCCAAATTTCAATTGTATTCGAATAACCGTTTCAGTAGCTTTTTCAATTTATTATAGATAGGTATTCACAGACGAAAATGCCGTCTGTGAATACGTTTCGTCCGCAACAATTCCGGTACAGCGAGTTGTCTAGTGCTTCTTGAACAAGTGTACTGAGGTTTGAATCTCACAATAGCTCTTGGTTGTCTAGTTTCAACTGAGTTTGAAACAACCTGTGTTTAGTTGTATAGAACGTCTGTATTTGTATCAAAATTTGAAAATTATTTACCTTGAATTGCGAAGCTCTGACCGGGTTTCGCTTATGGGTAGTTGCAGGCTGATCCAGAGTTGAGCAGAACAATTCTTGTTTCAACGAAGCTGGACACTCGAATCCCCCAGTTTTCGCGTCCTGATGATGTGAAACTCTTTCTCAAGCCTCCCGGTTGTCTCCTAGACGGCAACATAATGGGTGGCTCTCCATTTTTCACTTCTGTGCCATCTGGTCGTGTCGGTAGCAGCAAGGATTCTGTCTTTCCTTCAAATACTCACTTTCAAGAGGTATCTCCCGCTGCTAGTACTCGCTGTGGTTTGGAATACTAAAGATCACTGAGCTAAACGAGAACTGAGAACATCACTTGTGCAATTATTTTCGAAACATCATGGTTTCAGGAAACATTTCAGGTCGTCTTACCAACCGAGTACGCTTTATTTAATTTTAATCGATTTTCCTAAGTCATTCTGAATAACCACATCATAATGCTGACTAACGAATCTTGAAGGGTGTCATATGCTTTTTCTTCAAAATTCTTATGGCCTTATTATGCAGGCAGTGGCAGCTAGAGAGGCACAGGATGTGGTACTATTGGAGGAGAAACTGAATGGTCCATTGTCTAGAGAAGAATGCTCTAGAGTCGGGATCAGTCGTCTACGATGGTTTCTGGAAGAGCTGTTGCAACGCAGGTAATATTGATATCTTTTTCAGAATTTCTGTATTGATAACTTCGAATTGCTGAATATGGTAATTAACAAGGAGCGTACAATACTACATTCTAGGTCATATTATATTGTAAAATTGGTGTTGTTCTGAGGCTAGTTTAGGCTTGAAAGGTCTTTCAAGTAACCGCTGTTGTAGTTTTTCAATGATTTTATTGCAATTGATTATTTTATAAATAATTTTCCCCATATTTTGCAACCTGCACAACCCGTTTGATGTTAATGAGTACCTTTGCATCTTCTGAGTGCAGATATTTGGACAGTGTGCCAAACATCATTCCAACACTGAACAAAGAACTGCGCACAATCACCAATAAGCTCCAACAGACAACCCAGGATCTTGGGTAAGATTTACTTATAGTATTGCTGATTCAATTGTTGTGATGAAGGCTGCTCAGTTCGTCTGAAGGTCAGCCGGGGTGAAGAATCCTCGTTTCTTCCCGTGAATTCATTGTTTGGTAAATTTCACCGTATGTAGTCGCTGTTTGGCACTCTGTGCTTGAAATGCTATCTACTTTGCCAATCACTTCTGGAATTTCACCTCGAAATCCAATGACCTCCCTTGGATTCTTGGTACAAATGAATATCATGAAGCTTACATGAATTGTATCTGGTTTGCGTGCATTTACAGTGAACTGAATGAGACGAGATTAAGAGAAAGAGGACGGATTTTCAGAGATTCTCTTCTAGCTAAGGTCTGACCAGAGTATATTCTTTCAGGAGGCGAATGATTTTGCCAAGGCGTGTGAATATTTTAGTTTTAGAATAATGACCACCAAACAAAAAGAAAACCTTGACCATTGTGACTTAGCTTTTGTGATTTTAAGGCTTTGTCTCTTCAATTCGCTTTACTTGAATAATCTTAATTTTTCTTAACGTGAAACTAATAAATCGTGGTATGTTCTTTGAGCAGTTGTCGCTCTTATTGAGAGGTTCAGTTGTAGCCTCGCCTGAGAAATATGGTGTGTTATAATCTAAGCTTTTGTTGTAAGAAATTTGGTTTAGTGCATGCTCAACTGTGCTGATGAGATTTTGTGGTATTATATCTGATTAATCTATGGAAAAATCTCATTTTCCGCGTTTTCCCGCCTGAATTACTCAAGGTTTCTCCCGTTTTGTCTTGGTAATTGCTTTGCGGTTGCCCGAACAAAATTTGCTTAGATTTGATTGTACATTTTTCTTGCGGTGGTTTATCCTAGAAGCATTCATATCAGTTCTAGGTCTCATGTTAGTTTTTGGCCACATCTTACAGGAGAGTCCCTGCAGGATGAGCGACTTCAAGGGGGAGTAATTGTTAGCCCCGATGGGCTGCAGATGCCTCACAAACATGTGCCAGTAAGGCTTTGCTGCATCAATTTGGATGCGACATTGAACGAACTGCATTGGATCTGTTCTAATCAGATGCTTAGCTATTCTATCTGCTATTTGATGCCAGTTGCAAGTATTAGTGATCTGCAGTGTCCACCGCGAAACTGCTTGTATCCATCCGTGGGTGAAGCAATTATGACAACCACTATTGCCATTGCTAGGCATCTTAGACTTATCCAACAGTTATAAATTTGACTAAATCGATATTTGTGGAACAGAATGCAACCATGCGCTTGTACGGAGGAGCACAATATCACAGGGCTATGGCGGAATTCCGACTTATCGTTGGTAAATTGAAGTGCCATACTGTTAGTCGTGAAGAGATTGTGAATGCGTGTGGAGTAGAAGACATTCACGATGGAACCAACTATGTTAGGTATTGTCTCTTAATTTCTATAATTGCCATTTTCATCTTTGTGCTACACCTGTATCTTTGTTAAGATTGCAAAGTTTGAATGCTTGCTAGTTGCCATAGACTGGTTGGAATTGCTAACTGCTAGATACACAATTCTGAACTGAGAATCTGAATTCAATCCGAAATGCAGAGCGGCATGTGTTATCGCTACTTCAAAAGCTAGAGACGTCTTCGAGCCACTTCTGCATCAGGTACATCCTTGTATCGTGTCTGATATCGGACACAGGAAGACGAATGACATTTGATTCTAATCGATTTGGAGTCCATCATCATGAATCAGTATCCTACCTTTTAGATTCTGGGTACACGAACTTTCTGTACGTATGTAGCATCTCGTCAGCTTCGATCTTCAACAAAGTAGCAGCACATCTACGAAGACTGCAGAGTCGTACCTCTTTGAAGATGTTGAATTGGGTGTTAACCTAATTGACTGTTAATGGAAAGTAATCTTTGACCATGTAGCCACGAGAAGACAGAATGATCGAACTAGCTCGAGTCGACTAGGTTTGAGTAATTTTAAGCTGTAAAGACTTGCAGAGTCCCTTCACCATCACTTGTGGTGGTGACGCTAAGAAACGTATGGCGATGGCACCTATTTGTCTTAAGCTGGTACTAACTATCAACTACTACGTCCTGGTCTTACAGCTAGGATTTCGCCTCTCGCACATTTTGAGGAGGTCTTTACCTATTGCATTCCATTTACTACAGGCAAGCCGTCATGACTGCCAGCAACTAGTGGCATCTTGGATATTTAGGATTCATGCTATGACTTTCTTTTTATAAGAATGAATCTTTCCTTTTTTCTTACAAACCTTTCGGAGTCTTGTGCTGATGATTCTATTGTTGAACCTGTTTAACTATGTGGTTGAGAATAACCTAATCATAGGATCTTATGTTTAGCAATAAAGTCCAAGCAGGTCTTAGTTCATATTTAATTTGTAGCATGTCAAATATTTTGAAACATTTGCTCAAAATACGCTATTGCACCAGTAATCATATTTTTTTTGTAGTTCGATTGTGCAGAGAGATGGAGATTATATAAGCAGTGATGCATTTTTTGTGAGACGCATAGCCTCAGCTTTCGAGACGTTTGTAGACTCCACCGAGCGAGATTGTCTTGGGAAGTAAGTAAGCGCGTAGCTATTCCTGTGTTTACCCCTAAATCGGACCGTACTTGGAATAAGTAAAAAGTGGCTAACTATTGGAGAACCTAAAATATTCTCTTACGTCCAATAAACATGTTCTTGGTTCGATTCTGTTGCTTGCTTGTCGCACTTTCCAAGTGCTTGGTACTTATTCCTGCAGTGATTCTGAAATCCACGTCCCCAATCTGGGTATGTGTATGGATGGTTTATTTTTGGAAAAAGGATTTGCAAGTCTTGTAGTTTCTGTTATACTCACAAGACCGAATAGTTTCGTATGGTTGGATTTGATGAGGATTTTGTGTATTGCCATCTTGCATGTTTCGTGCATCGGAAATGTTCCTAGTCTCAGGAGTTCATAAAATATCAAGTCATTATGCATACTGAAATATAAGATTTCATTTTTCAGATGTATGGAGGACCTGAGAAGCATGACAAGATATGTCACGTGGTCTCTACACAACAAGGTAATAGTTCTTCACAGTTAAGTCTGTACCGAAAAAAGTGTAACATACTTGAATTGCCGCATCGAAGACTAAAATATTTGCAGTCAGTAACACCACAAGCCTTTGTTCAGGGCCGCTCTGCGCTTCGCCATTTCCTTGGTTCAGTATCAACTCCCAACGAGCAGTCTGCAGCCTCAATGACGAATATTGGGTTGGAGGGATTCTCGCCTCCAAACTCAAGTAACAGTTGTAAGCAAGACAGTAAAGTTCGTCCAGAAAATAATGTCACATTGCCAAATCAAGAGTCCTCACAGACTACTCATGTAAAGTTGGTGAATCTGCTCGAGAGCACTTTGTGGAACCGCAAGTTGGCCCCGACATTGGAGGACATTGTAAATGCACTTGTCGCTCAGATATTTGAAGGAATCCGTGACCATTGTGTTGCTTCTGCAGAGATGAAAGTAAGTCATGTGTAATCTTGTCCTTCGGTAGAATTGTGTGTCTCACATTGTGAGCTTATGTTAATTATAAATATCTTGTTGAGCAAGCTTTTGCCAACACAGCTTTGCAATCTGCCTCTATTAGCAGTTTTCTAGCATTTTATTAATCATAACTACTGTATGATGCACGGCTATATGCAGTTCAACTGCTATTTTCTTATGCCAATGGTGGACAAATTCCCAACTGTACTGCGAGAAACCTTGGAAACGGCCTTTCAGAAAGACACAGACGTCTTCAATGTTGCTCAGGTGTGCACAAATCAATTTCAAAATCATGTCATGCTCTATTTTCTATGTAGCACAGGCTACTTCTAGTTATTGATGCGTAGTACGAGTCATTCTTTTTCATAACTTATCTGACAAGGGACTGAACTTTGGTTGTGTTCAGGTTCGTAGAGCATTGGAGAAGAATAGGGCTGATCTTGCACTTGAGTTGAAACAGGTATTTGCACTATTTTTAGTCCTCATCATATGCTGGTTTGCCCTCATCAATTAGCTATAGGATGGTATTCTTCACAAAAGTCGTTTAGAGTAATGGATTTTGTTGTGTCGTGAAGGTGGAGAAGCTGCATGAAAAGTTCATCAATATCCACCATCAGCTCAGCAGCGCCTATCCTTCGCCAGATCCTCAACAAGAGACTTTTGATGAGCTGCCTGTCGATACACCTGACAATCATCCGTCGTTGTAAATTTCTCCAATTCTGCACTTCTTTTTTTTATTTCTCGACAAGCATTTGGGGTTAAAATTCACCCCCACCTGGAACACCATGATGTTCCCTCTACAAGCTGCACGAGGATATGAATGTGGCTTCATACAAGAATTTTTTCCGTTAATTGTTCGTTACGTTCTTTATGGTTACGTAATTCCTGGACGAGATGGTTTATTAGATGTCTCGTGTAGAAAGCTTGAGAGACCGAAAGAAACCGCTTGGTTCTTAAAGCTCTGCATGAGCTTTGCTGCTCAAGATGGAGTCTGCTGAAGAAGCGTCACCAGCACACGAAGTCTAATAGAAATTACTGCAGGATTACTCAGTGTACAGTGTGCAGGACTGTGGCAACTTCAATGTATCACATTTGTACTCAATGTGTACAAAAATTTATAAAAATTTGTGTTGTAAATGATTGCGTTTGAAAATAATCTTTTTAACACGTTTACTAGCCTAAATTGATCGGATAATGAAGGGATTGCACAACAATTCGCTTAGAAAGCCAGTTGAGGAAACAGGGGTCTCGAATACTTGACCCAACTGCAAACACTATAATGTTAAACGCTGGATTATGGTTAACGTCAAGGTGACAAATCAACAAAACTGTACCTCAATTTTCAACTGCACGCACTATTCCATTACACTTTTCGCAGCGTATCATTTGTGTAGCCGAAGTTCCAAAGCTTATTCTCTCCGATCACTCTTTTCAAAACATTAGCCACGATGTCCATTCGTGAGCATCGACAGCAGGCTTGCTTTTGTTGAGAAAAACTCCATGGGCTTCTACATCACTGGGAACAGGCTTGGATCAGAAAACAACAAAAATGAGAACTCTTCATGATGATGATGTTTCACGACCGATGCACACTTCTAGGACCACTTAAATCGCTCTACTTACGATGATAGGGATTGGTGGTCACCGCTGCTACTTGCGGCTGCAACTCACTGTCCCTTCTAGTTAAATCTACTTAACTTCTCCACATCCTGCATATAGAGTCCATTAGAGGAATCCTGGTGAATCAGTGGAATTTGACTAGTCCGGGTTTTTCCTCGGTTGAGGAGGTATAGCTGGTGACATGAGCAGATATGAGACTTCACACTCTTTGCGAAACGTCGATCATAATAGAATGAAAGTTAATCTGCAACAAAACTATTAACCATCGGCCAGGTTGCAGACGATTTATCAATTATCCAAGTTTCTCTATTCCCCCATTCAGGGCGGTGTCTCGTCTTATGCTCTTTCACTTCGGCCCTCTCATGTGGAGGGAAAAAAATTATTCACATTTTCTAGATGAAGACGAAGTACTATGGGGCTTCAACTGTACATAGGAGAATTTTTGTCTAATCGAGGAATGAGGGAGTAATTTGATTCGACTGGAAGGATATAAGACCGGCGTCGCGCAGATATTAATCTCAGAGTGATTTCTTGTGGCTTCTGCACGGAATGTGTTTAAGACTGCTAATCCACAATCTTAATCCACTGCCTACAACCAGCGCGCCCAGAATAATTGAAAGTGCTTCTTAGGCTTCTGGTCGCGTTTCGAAACGTTCGCCTGAACAAACTCAAGGAACAGTTGTAAACAAAGTTAAAATAAGGGATACTCATCTGGTGTCATGCTCGATAACATGCTCCACTGATGTCATCGTCCCATGTTTCGCAGCAATTAATGACACGACAAAAAAAGCTAAGGAACTAAGTGGATGACTCATAAATTAATAAGTTGCAGCATAATTAGCAAACAAGCTTTTACCACTTTTGAGACGTTGCTAGTTCTCTTTTAAAAGCAATTCGACAGTTTATTAATGGGAAAAGTCAGTTTAAAGCAGACAGCATTAGCGCAGCATGTACATTTTTTCCCCCCTTGGACCACCACTTGTCCGAAAAGCCCCTATCTTGCTTGCCCTATATTATCTCAAGACAACTTGTTTACCCACCATTAACATCACAGTCCAACGCTTGGAACCCATGGGCTGCAACAACTGAAGCTGGGTTCATGTGCTGTTTACTCAGCTGATCAACAATCCTGCTTTAGTTCACACCAATCACGGTCATCGCACATAGTGCCGCGCTGGAAATCGTCCCGGGGACATTCCAGCTCCAACACTGGACAACCACTAGACATCCAGAGATCACTTCCCGAGAGACGGAGGAACTTGTGCAGTTCACGGCAGGACGCACAATTAAAACCAACTCAGCCGCAGAAACGCAGAGAATGGACACCCGCGTGGATCAGTGAGCGGCGTGGAAAAAGAACGCATTGAACTCTCCGGAGAACGCGCCGAACGACTTAACTCGCGTCCAACGTACCTTCGGAAGCTATTAATCTGACCATCGCGATAGTGGATCCACAATCCTGATCCACCAACCGCATTGTACTTCCAGCACCTGAAACCATAAATTGGAAAAGCTCGCCATAGAGCTACTGTGGCACCGCAGACAGCAACGCCGACGTGCCCACTTCGCTCAACACAATCCCCCCAATGCCTCTTGAGATGATTTTTTTCGGTTGTTTGGTTTTGTTTTTGTGTTTGTACTGCGTTGGCTGGTTTTAACTGACGCCAGATTCCCGACATGCAATGTGGTGATTCATGGTCCGCGGATTCCAGGGCCCAGTTTGTGAGATCTGTCCAGATTCCAATTGTTTGTGTAGTGGTGGAATCCGCCGTTTGAGAGCTGCCCTAGATACTACTACAGCTCTACTATTGCTGCTTACTCCTCCCGGCATTAGAATCTCAGTGGGTGAAATCTTACTGCATTTTGTACCAAAATGTTTAAATAAATCTTTCATCTTGTTTTGTGGTCCAAAAATGGTTTTGTGTGTATACTTTTTTTAAACCTAAAAGCCTAAAAACCTTAATCTTAAATCTCTATTGTCAATATTTTAGGACAACACAACAATTAGTTGCTTGTCATTGAGTTAGAAAATTCAAGGCAACTACTTAACATTTACTTCTATTTGATATGCTTGGATGATAAGCAAACAAAGTAAAAAGGTCAAAGAACAAGCCACAATGGTATCCATAATTAGTGTGTACACTCAAATAGTGTATATTCTTAATTAGTATATTGATAAGACATGGCTCTTTGATTACAAAGCTAATATGCTTTACTATCATATGTTTTATTATTGTATGTTTTATTGTTATATCTGTTATAATTAATTATAAATCTATTTATAAGCTACATCTATTATAAAATATTATCTATATATTATTCAAATATGAATATAAATAATTTGATATATTTTATTAATAATATTCTATTATTAGTATATATTTTAGATTAATATGATACATTATCAAGGACATGATTTACAAAGAATCAAAAAATTAATACACTCTTGTGCTACTACAAAAGAATAGCTGAAAGATGATATATTATTAAATTAGAATGGCTTTTGGCAAAGATAAAAAAATTAGAGACTTTTGAAATAAGACTAAGATAAGAAAGACATTAATAAGAATGAAAAAGGCTTCACACTTGCCTCTATATATACTATCTTACTACGAACCATGTGGTAATGTTCTATAGGACTTCCAATATATATCCAACTTATAAGACACTATTATTCTAGCTATTGAGGTTATTAGCAAGTATTGGACATGACCTTGTAAGACCAAACTTGATACACATGATGATCAAAGAAAAGACCAAGATTAGTTTATTGCTCAATCAAAACTATATGGACTCCGGCTCAACACTAGCTAACTCGTGTGCTACTACTTAAGACCTATTGAGTATTGTATTACTTCTCAATTGCTTGTTAAATATTTTTTTTTTGGCTCTTAAATATCTTTCTACTTTACTATGTCATTGTTAATTTTGACAGCCTTGTTGTGGCACCTTATTTCTTTCCTTACTACCCCTCAAATTCTATGCTATTAGGATATTTTGGTAGGTATCATCTATAAGCAAATATGTGATTTTTTGGATAGATAAAATTGTCACAATTGGATGTGATTACTTTGGCAAGGTAACATTTCACCCACTGAGGTATCTCATACCATGTCCTCAAAGTGTTTGCAATACAAGGAAATTTTTGGATTTGGATTGTACAATTAAAAATATTTATGAAGTGGTTTATACTCATCATAAAATTACCATATTACTGTGGCAAATTTGTGGTACATATGATAGTATATGTATTAAATTTTAAATGCAAATAGCTAATATTGTATAATATAATAGTTGGATTACATCTAGATTTTGTATATATCAAGCAATCTATCATATTAGTATAAATAACACATCTTTTCTCAGGGTGTGGATGTTCAACAAAATATTTTAAAATTATGCATTATGCTTCTACTATATCTTCAATTTTATCATTCAAATCACTATTATGCATATCATTCTTGTTGAGCTTGTGCTTAGTAGCCAAATCTGTAAGTTGTACCTTATTTTAAACTAATGGTATTAGTCAATAGCCACAAGCATGAAGTAAGTCAAATTTGTGGCCTAACATACTATCAAGGACTTACAATTAATCATTGTAGTCACCTATGTTTGTGAAAAATACGCAAGATAAAATTACACCTTTGTCAACTTGCTTAAATGTGATATTGTTTGAGTAGCTTACAATGTATCAAATACCAAATATTTTCTTATTACCATTGGATTGATTTATATCATAATGGATATGTCTTAATTTTGCTCTACTTGTGTAAATTAATCTTTTCTGCTTACTAACTAGATTCTTTATGTTGTGCCTTTGAATTGTACTTATAATTCACTAATTACAGATGTTGATGCTACTTGAGCCTCTCAAAGTATAATTTTGAGGGCTTCTAATTCTTTTATTTGGATTTGGACAATATTCTATAGGACTATGAGGGTCTCTTATTTCTATAGTACTACTTGAAGTTTGTTTGCAACTTTTATAACTTGCCCTATACAATAGTAGAATCATACATGAGTACTGCAAGTTCTTAATATTGTTGTCAAATATCACAATTGGCTTTCTATTTCTTGCAGTGCATCTCCTATATTCTAGATGTCTATAGATATTGATGAGGCATTGTACAGCTAGACTTTGTCTTAGTTCAATTAACTGATTTGTAATTATAACATCATATTGAACTTGTAATATTTGTAAATCATATCATGATTATAGTCTTTGTAATATTGTCATATTATGTGAAATCTTGTTTGAGAATGCACTAGACACTTGGCTATAAAAGATAAAAGAAAATTGTAACAATAATTCCTAATAAATCTAATAAAATCATATATAAAATATAATTAAAGCTTAACAAATATAATCAAATATTGATCAAGTCCATTTAAATTTTCATAGAGATAATAAAATAAATACATTAAAAACTTAAAAAACTTTTAAAGAAATCATAAAGAAATAATTAAAAAAATCTTTAAAAAATCCTAAAGAAATCTAAAAGAAATCCATAGGAATCTGAAAAAAATCCTTAT